TCATCTCTTAACTGAAAAAATAGAGAATCAGAAGCCGACCGTCGAGTGACCTCTGCCATATGAATTTCGAACCAAAGGAATTGAGATGAATACATAGGCATAACGATTCTTCGTTTCACATCCTCTAACATGATCAAATCACTTTCAAACCGTATGCAGAAAAATGATCCGTCGATGCAACAAATACTAACTTCAATTCTAAAAAACCGAGATATAGCAACTACAAACTACTAGGCTGAATCTAGAAACGAAGATTTACTGAGAGAAGATCGAATGGATGGAGAAGAGGACAAGAGAGAGAAGGGAGGAGAGAGAGCAGAGCATACTTACCTTTCTTCGCCTCCAGTAAATGTGTATTAATTTATATATTTCATATATTGTTTAATAATTAAATGTTTATTAATATTATGTATCAATTCCTATATTGATGAAAATTTATACTTTTTCATGGCAAAAAAATTATGTATTGTATTTAAGATGAAATTTTAAAATTAATTTACCTTATCTGTTTTAGTTTGAAAAATGTTTATATTTTAAAACAAGGAATTGGTTCCGACAAATCTCCCTTGGGAACTGTTGCCCTTTCTTAATGGAGAACTCAGAATTGTATGGAAATGATTGTTGTAAGAGGTGGAGAGAGTTGGAAGCCCTCCCCAGTATTGTCCCATCTTGTTTGTTCTTTGGAAGAGGATTCGATTTTTAGTTCTGTTTTAGTATATACTCAATCACAAATAATATCTACATTATTAACGCTTTCAGGTTGGAAGTTGTACTTCTGTTGGTAGTATACATGGCCTATGGATATAATTCAGGTGGTTCATTGGCATACATCCTTGTCACTCTAAGCAGTTGGTTCATGGCATTATCTTGGCTGTTTGCTCCCTATCTGTTCAATCCATCTGGGTTTGAGTGGCAAAAGTGAGTCATTTCGCTACATTACATCTGTTTCTTCTTTGATAGAATAAGATTATAAGAAATAAAAATAACAATAAAAAAGGTATATATTGTTCCTATTTAATTACATCCTCAAAGGTCTTTTCACTATTTGCGCAGATAGTAGATGCAAGACATAATCTCTATGCTGAATTGACTAGATAATCAAATCATAATTTTTAATTAGCTCTATTTCCTTTCAGGACTGTAGAGGATTTTAAAGAATGGACCAATTGGCTTTTTTACCGAGGTGGAATTGGTGTTAAGGGTGAAGAAAGCTGGGAAGCATGGTGGGACTCGGAACTGGTAATTCAAATTTCTGTCTATGTTTTTTTTACTTCTCTTTGTTTTTCCTTCTTTATATGAATTTAAAATGCAATGCTTGTTGATCTGTATTTAATATCAGTTGCCCTTCAACTCAACAATGTGGTTACAAGTAGATATTTTTAGTTGTATTGAGTCAGTAATTTTGGTCCTAGTTGTTTTCCATTTTCCTTTCATACTTTCACTCGCAGAAAAGGTATAATATTCTTCCTATTTAATTAAATCAACCAGTAAATGTAATCCTCCACAAGAAAAGAAATAAAACATTACAGTTAATGAAGTTAATTGCCGAAGTGGTTTTCCTTAGTATTTAGGTTTGGATGCACTTGACTCTTGAGAAAGCCAAGCAATTTACCTTTCCAACCATTTCTATAATTAAACCACAGCTGTACAGTAAAAGGGCAAAACAGAACTATACCTGACACAGATTTATGTTATCTTCATGCTACCGATTGATTGTTCTAGCTGCTAGTAAAATTTTCCTGTATAAAGGCGCTATTAGTGAACTAGATAATAAGCTTTAGGTAAACCATTATATATTAGGCACTAGTCTTTTCTGAATTGTCTAATTGTAAAGTGCTTTTACATTATGCAGGCACACATAAAAACAATTGAAGGGCGGATAGCAGAGACTATTTTAAATCTAAGATTTTTTATTTTTCAATATGGCATTGTTTACAAGCTCCATTTGCAAGGATCAAACACATCATTGTCGGTATGGTCTCTCTGTGTATATTTTTCATTTTTTACTTGAATTTACCAATATTGGACGAAAAAGTTCAAAATATACAGAAGTTTTGTTTAAATATTTTTTTTGAGCAGTTTGATGTTATTTTTCATTTTTCTATTAACTTGTAAACTTGGTAATGGCGATCTAAGCACTTCATTTTTATGTTTGTGTGAGCCAAAGAATGGATCGTTTCAGTTAATACAATTCATGTGAAACTCTTTAGGTATATGGGCTCTCCTGGGCTGTGCTCGCTGGGCTTATAGTTCTTTTCAAGGTGCGCAACAACATCAAAGTCACAATTGGTTTTCCAGTATCTAATATCTATTATAGTCATTTGATCTTCCGCATCTCTGTTCTGCAGGTGTTTACCTTTAGCCAGAAGATGACGGTCAACTTCCAGCTTTTGTTGCGGTTCATCCAAGGTCTTTCTTTCCTATTGGCGTTGGCTGGCTTGGCAGTTGCGGTTGCTATTACAGACTTGTCACTGCCTGATGTATTTGCTTGTGTCTTGGCGTTTATACCTACAGGATGGGCCATTCTTTCTGTGAGTTTCCTAGTCCTATTGTTATCTAGGTCAACTTTAGAGTATGTGTGTGCCCGCACGTGTGCATATGACAGCTGAAAAATTAAATAAAAAATAAATACCATCTGGTGGTAACGTCCCTGATCAAGACTATTGTCAACTCTGAATGAGCAAAATGAGTTGCCTAAATTACATTTCACATGGTTTTCTTGGATCTCAATTGTGGTAATGGTGTTTAGGACACGGTGCATTTGCATTAATAAGATTTCTTTATTAGGTCAGAACCAAAAGATATGGTCAGAACGATTCTAACCTCCCTTTGTAAAACATCCTGACATAATAATATATTCACTGTTTCAGATTGCTGCAGCTTGGAAACCTTTGGTAAAGAAACTGGGACTGTGGAAATCCATCCGCTCTCTTGCTCGGCTGTATGATGCCGGGATGGGGATGCTTATCTTTGTCCCCATTGCATTGCTTTCATGGTTTCCATTTGTATCAACGTTCCAAACTCGTCTCATGTTCAACCAGGCTTTCAGTCGGGGGTTGGAGATCTCACTAATCCTTGCTGGAAACAACCCCAACACTGCCCTATGATGCTGCACGAGCTCGATGCCATGTCAGTTCATAAATCTGACGCAATATCTTGACCCATTTTTCGTTGACCACACGGGGACTTTTGAAAATCCCACATGACAAACTGTCTCTACACTCTCACTGGGTTAACTTTATTAGCAGCATAGATTAACAAATTACAGATGTGTTGTACTTTCCCATTTCAGTTTTGTTTAGATGGCTTTACCACCATTAAATGATAGTTCTTGCCCCATTTTTTTTACCATGTCGTCTTCAATCTTTCTTGTCACATTTTCATTGCTTTGGATTGTTGATTTCCTGTGTATTATTGATTTAATCGTCGCTCTAGAACGACCACTTCCATAGCGTGTAGGAGGTACTATATTGTAATATTTAATGTTTATTTTGAATATGAATGTCATTATGAGCAATCAAATTGAAGTTGAGGCACCAACTGTTCCAAAATGCTTTTTTTCCTTTTTGGTCTTCATATAGGAAAATGTATCAAGTATTAACAAAGAATGGCCTACTCAATTCATATAGGACTTTTCAAGTTTATAAATATAAATTTTAATCTTCTTAAAGATCGTTATCTCTTTCTTTGAGTTGTAGTGTTACACAAATGACGTGAACATCACGTAGTTATTTGTGAATTAAGAATTTATATGTGCCCGTTTGTAAAAAAGAAGTGAAATGTGAGATTTTAATTTGTTTTTAATTTTGAAAATAAATTATTTCAACTTTTGAATGGTGTAAACAGAATTGATCGAGGCATGTTATATGATGATATTTCAATTATGGGGTTTTTTTTCTTTTTTTGAAGAAACTTTGAATTATGTGCTGTTTTTTACCACTCAATTGGATAAAAATATTATAGATGCTACATAAATTATCAAAGATCATGCCGGGGATAACAACAATGATGATCAAAATATCGAAAGTCTTCTGAGTAAGGCATGCCCCTATAAGAAACATCAGCGAACTTGTTTAGAGTGCAAAGAAAAAGAAAAAGAAAAAAGAAATGAAAAAACCTCAAGTTTAGAGATCTTACCAAAGATTTTTTTATATATATAAGAAAATTTTCATTGAAACAAAAGTGGAACCAAAACAGCTCAAGGAACAAGGGACGAGTCGCCCAAGAGGATAGCTCTTCAATCCTAAAAGATTTGAAAGAGATTGTAATTACAAAATATATATATATATGTTCTTAAAACACCACCATGAAGATGTAGTTTGGACACTAATACAAAAAGAATCGAATTAGTTAGACTTATCTTCAAAAGATGAGATCTTACCAAAGATGTATAAAAATTCATTGAGAATTTCATTGATCAACAAATCAATTACAGATGAATAACCTTATAGGTACTATAAACCCAAGTAAAGGTAATCAATTTTATTCCTACGATGACCTTTACCATAGTTGGGACCATCTTTGGCACGTCTTTGAGTAAACAACTCAAAACCATTTTTCTATTCATTAGGAGAAAAAAATTACCAAATGCCCTCTTTAGATTGTAAAGGTGCAAATGATTTTGACTGTCTACTGAGTATATTACTATATAAATATTTTAAACACTATTTATGGGATAGATCTAAAACAAAAACCTACAATTAAAAAAAATTATTATTATTTAAGAGAGTGACCAACTAGACATACTCATTCTATGCACTAAAAATTCTATGCACTAAAAGTTGCTAATGAACCACAAAGGTGAAATCATACGTTTCATCCTTCAACTTTTAAAATTGTCTATTTAATCGCTATATTCTATGAGGTTTCTATTTTAAAATGTAGACATTAAATAGATGCAAACTTTAAAAATTAAAAATTAAAGGACCAAACTTATAATTTATCCCAACACAAAATAGCAATACTCAGGAAGACAGAAGACACACACACACACATATATATATATAAGCAATAACACAGACGTGATTTCCTTTTTCCATTTTATTAACTTGATATAATTTCATACTATTCAAAATTCAGCAAAGCGGCATCATGACAGGAAGGACTAGAATCACAACAGTGAAGAACAAAGAAAATGTACTTGGACAAGAACTTTTGAGACAGTTGTTGCTGGATAATGTTGAGAATTGCTTGTTCCCCAAACCAGAAAGTTCCAGGCAAGGAAATTGTTTTGGAAGGCTCCTCTTCCAGCTTCAAGAAAGACCAATGACCTTTCCGGTAACGGTGTCGAGATCGATGTCGTAAAAGCAAGGTCTTGTAGGAAGCCCCGGCATTGTACTCATGGTTCCTACCAAGGGGTAAATGAAGCCAGCACCAATGCTCGCCCTCACATCCCTTATCGGCAACTTGAATCCGGTTGGTGCTCCCTTTTCGGAAGCATTGTGTGAGAAGGAGTATTGCGTCTTCGCCATACAGATCGGTAGATTCGAAAATCCTTGCCTGCTGTACATTTCAATCTGTTTCTCAGCCTGTTGATTCAAACAATAACATTTTTCAGCTCCCTATCAGTATTTGTTACAAGTCTAGTCCATAAACTCTCTCACATAAACGGCCAATTGTATTTTTACCTGCGGTACATAATGCCAGTGAGACCAGCTCTTAGTAGATTTATTGTGGACTTCTTAAGTTTTTTTTTTTAACTATGTTCATAAATTCTTAAATCTTTTACTCTTTACCAAGATCAAAGCTGAGGAACCACTGCATGACAGTTTCCTTTGTTAGTAGTGACCAACAGTGGGTGGTTTTGTGAAGCTAAGAACACATGGCCTGATAAGCTCTTAGTTATTCAACCATCGTTTTACTTTTAACCACAATATATGAAAGCCTTGAATTGGGATTAACTCCAGAGTTTTTTCCCTTCCTTTGGGAGCCTATAACCTTGAACTTTTTCTTCATTTTCATATTATCAATGAAAAGTTTGTTTTTTGTTAAAAAAAAGGATTAACTCCCAGAGCACGATCGGATTTCAGTGAAAATAGAAGAACATGCAATTACCCATTTGAACCTAAAACTTAGAACAGTAGTTGACAGGCTAACAATGTTGCTTTCTTAAATGATTTGATCTTTTATTTCTTTCTCAAAATAATGATGTTGATCTTTGACCATGAGAAGCAAATCCAATATGGTGGTCCTGAAAAGGCTTCTTCTTGGGATCCTATTATTGAGAAGATCAAAAGGAAGTTTCAAGGGTGGAAGGAAGTTTTTGTTTCTCAAATGGGAGCGGCTCACCTAGATCCAAGCTTCCCTGACAAGCCTCCGTCCTACTTTATGCCCACGTTTAAAATGCCATAGAAAGTTGTGGAAGCCGTGGAAAGAATCACTGAGGAATTTTAATCAAGGTATTGCTTCGAAAAGTTCGGCCTCGCATCTTTGTCAGCTGGAAGGCTCGGGCATCGGAAATTTGCAACAGAAAAATATAGCTCTTCTTGCTAAATCCCCGTGGCGTTTTGCTCAGGAAAAATCAGCTCTATGGAGGAAAGTGATAAAAGGCCAAATATGAATCTTCTCCTTTGGATTTGTGGACCAATGCTCAAGCTGTCAAAAATATCAGAAGATCGCTAGTCTCCTCTGGATGCAACATCAAGGCCTGGCCTGAGTACTTTGTTTTGGGAGGATAGATGGCTGTTTTAGAGAGGAATCACAGACTTTTTTGTAGGAAAAGATGGAGATTTTTTGTGTCCATTTCTTTTTGTTGGTGTAGGTTTGGTAGAGCTTTTTGTGATTATTCTCTAAATGATATTTTCGCAGAGGGCTTTCTTGTAACCTCTTTTGCTTCAGGGTTTGGATTTTCTCCCCACCGAGTAGTGCATTTCATTGATCTATGAAATAGTGTTTTTCATTGTTTAAAATTAAAAAATTAAAAAATAAATAAATAAGCCAACATGAGGTTGATGAGTTGAACAATCCCAAGACTATTTATGCCACTTTATCATTATCCTATTCTAGCTAGAATTATTGATTGTGATCCAATAAAAAAAGCTTCGACATATTAAAGAAGGAATTTGGAATTTGAATTTGAAGGAAGCACAGGGACGAAAATATCAGATTCATACTCAGAAAATTAAAATGATGCTGAAAATGAAAAATCCAATCTCCATGGAAATAGGAGTAACGATCATTAAGGATCAATAGACCACGACGAAATTTTTGAGATCAATGAGTTCTGGACAAAATAATAGTTGCCGTTATAAGCAGATTTCAGTCAAAAGATTTTATGGCTATAATGGTCATGGATAGAGATTTTCTTGTGTCAAACAAAATCAGGCATGGAGTAAATGATACTAATCAAGAAACAACTCTCTTATCTATGACTTCTCATATAGAAGAAAAACCATGTGGATCTTTTCAGCCAAAATGACAAATCTATAAGGTGACTCATTTTAGATAAGGTTAATGCGAATTGAAAAAAATCTTCGTCATAGATATAGCATAGAACTCACCTGTTCCGAGTACTCCACCGCACTGGCTCCGTAGGACTTGGCTATTGCTTCTATTTTGTCTTTAATACTTACATCCAGTGAATATAAGAATTTCAATGGCTGTGTTACATTCTCACATGCTTTTTGAACTGCAATCCCAAGGTCGACCTGGAAAATCAAAAATTGTGATAAATTTTAATGTCCAATCAAAGAAAGATGATCGTTTTCATTCAAGACACCATCACTTTTCCATTAGCTAGCTCACATTGAAATATATATCCTATGTGTTCATTGACTCTTGGGAACGTCACCTATGAAAAGAAAATTTTTAAGGACTTGGATATGAAAATGTCTTATACCAACCATCATGGGATGGCTCAAGTAGTTAATGAGGGCCAATGTAAATAGCAAAAGACTTGAAGGGAATGAGTTCAAACCATGGTGGCCATCTACCTAGGATTTAATATCCTACGAGTTTCCTTGTCAACCAAATGTAGTAGGGTCAGACGGTTGACCCGTGAATAGTCGAGGTGCGCGTAAGCTGGCCCGGACACACGGATATCAAAAAAAAAACAAAAACAAAAACAAAATGTATAAAATCAAGCTGAACTTTAGGGATTACTTTCCTTGTATTACTATGTAATATATTCCTTGTAGAATTAGATTATACCTAATTTCTAGTCTCTTGATTGAATATACTCTTGTATATATTGCACTCTATTGTATTGAGAATAATAAGAAAAACGTTCTCATAAAGCTTCATGGTATCAGAACTTTGAGAAATAAATCCTATTTTTTCAAAACCCTAGCCGTCAGGAAATAAACCCTAGTTTTACAAACCCTAACCATCATCAGATCCACCTCCGGCGAACTCTTCACGGCAGATCTGTCGCCGTCGATCCTCTCCGTCGCGACGTCCATTCGCAAAGAGAACTCTCATCCCGGCGGCCTTCATCGTGAGCATAACCCTCATCCCGATTGCCTAATGCTCACATCACACGTTCCAAAATCTTTTTGGGGTGAAGCTGTTCTCACTGCTACGTATCTCATAAACCGATTGCCTTCTCGTATTCTCAAATTCAACACACCCTTGCAAAGCTTACTTATGATCTATCCTACATCCCATCTGGTCTCTCCCTTGCCATTAAAAATATTTGGGTGTACTTCATTCGTTCATGTATATCCTCAGCATCGTAGTAAACTTGATGCGAGATCCACAAAATGTGTCTTTCTTGGATACTCACCGAATCAGAAAGGATACAAATGTTATCATCTTCCATCTCAAAAATTCTTTCATACAATAGATGTCACATTTTTTGAAAATCAACCATATTATCCCAATTCTGTAATTTAGGGGAGCATCATGATCTTGAATCACAAAATTAGGATTGCACTCCTAATTTCCTGCAGTGACTTTAAATCCATCCTCTGAAAGTTCTCCTGTACCCTCACTTGTACCTCCTTCTGAGCCAACTTTCTTATCTACCTCTGAGCTAGACCTGCAAGTTTATTCGCGAAGAGCGAGACAACCTGAGAGGACTGAGATACAACCTACACAAGTTCAGCAAAGCCAAGCTCTAAACCAAAATCTCAGTGTCCCTAAAATAGCACACGAGATATCAGAAGATGATAGACCCATTGCTGTAAGGAAAGGTGTTCGCTCATGTACTCAACATCCCATACAGTATCACTTATCTTACACTAATCTGTCGTCATGTTTCATGACTTCACTAGATCAGATACAAACTCCCAACACAGTTCAAGAAGCTCTACAGAGACCTGAATGGAAGGTTGCCACTCTAGAAGAACTACAGGCTCTAGAGAAAAATGGGACGTGGATACATACGGACTTACCCCCAGGTAAACGCACAGTTGGATGTAAATGGATTTTTTCGACCAAACACAAACCAAATGGTAGTATAGAGCGATTCAAACCTCGCCTTGTGGCTAAAGGATTCACACAAGCGTATGGGATTGACTATCAGGAAACGTTTGCTCCAGTTGTCAAGCTGAATACTATTTGGGTACTTCTCTCTATTGCAACAAATCTAGATTGGCCCTTGTTTCAACTAGATGTAAATAATGCATTTTTAAATGGCGATTTAGTAGAGGAAGTGTACATGGACATACCTCTTGGATTTGAGAATGGGTATACTAGAGGAAAGGTATGTAAACTCAAGAAGTCTCTCTATGGACTAAAACAGTCACATCAGGCTTGGTTTGGAAATTTACAACTGTGTTGAAATAAGATGGCTATACTTAGTGTCAATCCGACCATACCCTCTTCATCAAGCATTTCTCACCAAGTAAGATCACTGTTTTAATAGTATATGTTGATGATATAATTCTCATAGGAAATGTTTCCTAGGAAATTATTCGACTGAAGCAACTTCTCTCAAAGAAATTTGAGATCAAAGACTTGGGACACCTAAGGTATTTCCTAGGAATGGAAGTCGCAAGATCTAGTAAAGGGGTTTTTGTTACTCAACGAAAGTACACCCTTGATCTCCGAAGAGAAACCGGGATGAGTGGCTGCAAACCAGCAGATACACCTATGGATGCAAACTCAAAACTTGGAGTTAATCTCGAAGATGAACCAGTTGATCGAGGCAGATATCAACATCTAGTTAGGAAACTTATATACTTAACTCATACGCGACCAGACATTAGCTTTGTGGTTAGTGTGGTAAGTCAATTTCTGAACAAACCTTCAAAGGAATATATGGAAGCTGTGTATAGAATATTGAGATATCTCAAGCACGATCCTGGGAAGGGACTTATGTTCAAAAAGACCACAAACCGAGCACTTAAAGTTTACACTAATGCAGATTGGGCCGAATCTCCGATTGATCGGAAGTCAACATCAGGATATTGTTCCTATGTATGGGGAAACTTAGTAACGTGGCGCAGTAAGAAACAACAGGTTGTAGCTCGAAGCAGTGCCGAAGCTGAGTTTCAGTCATTAGCCCATGGGATTTGTGAAGGAATTTGGTTAAAAAGTCTTCTCACTGAGCTCAAGATCAAGACTAAAGGTACTATGGAGGTACTATGTGATAATCAATCTGTCATAGCCATTGCAAGAAATCCAATACATCATGACCGGATGAAACACGTTGAAATAGATCATCACTTCATCAGTGAGAAGATTGAGACACACTATGAATCTAAGATATGTGTCTTCTCAACAACAGGCAGCTGATATATTAACTAAGGCATTGCATCAAACCAGTCTTAGTAGATTGATTTCGAAACTTGGAATGACGAGCATATATCATCCATCTTGAGGGGGAGTGTATAAAATCAAGCTAAAATTTAGGGATTACTTTCCTTGTATACCATGTAATATATTCCTTGTAGAATTAGATTATACCTAATTTCTAGTCTCTTGATTGAATATACTCTTGTATATATTGCACTCTATTGTATTGAGAATAATAAGAAAAACTTTCTCATAAAGCTTAAGAAATGTCGATACCATTTGAAATAGATTTTCTTATTCTTTTACCTTTTCCTATAGGATTTGGTCACTTGAAAAGCATAGACACGTATTCATGAATACGCCATGAACACGACAAATGTCATTTTCTAAAAACTCAAGACATGTAGACAATATTCACATTTGAAATAGTGTAATCGTAAGGATGTACTATACGACACACAAGATGAAGAAACTAATAACATATTTAAAAAACTGGTAAGCTATTGTGTCATATATATAAAGCTTAAGTTAAGTTACAAGTTTAGTCAATAAACTTTCAAGATTATGTCAAATAGATCCCTACACTTTAAAATAATAGGTCAGCTTCTAAACTTTCAATTTTGAATCTGTACCAAACTTTAGAAGTATCAAATAGGCCTTGAGATTTTAAATTTGTGTATAATAAGTCATATTAGACATTTTCATAAATCTAGAGATCTATTAGATGCAAAATTGAAATGTCAGGATCCTATTAGATTCAAAATTCAATTTTGTGTCAAATAGGTTCGAGATTTTAAAAGAAAATATAAGATAGGTTGAGAACCTATTAGATACTTTGAAAATTCAATGACGTATTAAGCACTTTGAAAGTTCAGTGAATTATTAGATAAAATTGAAAATTTAAGAACCAATTAGACACTTTTCAATGTTCAGGGACTAAACTTATAATTTAATCTAAAGCTTAATTTAATCTAAAGCTTACTAATTATCGAGATTGAGTGGCTTACTGCTCCTTTTCCACCATGAGCATGATGGGTACAAATAACGGCATCATATGCCCCCGCAGCCAACGCAGCGTTCCGAACCGCATTCATTTCTGCTTCGGTATCTGTGGTGAATTTGTTCACAGCAACGACTACATTCACACCATAAGCCTTTGTGTTTGCAATATGCCTGGCCAAATTAACACAGCCAGCTTCAACAAGACCCACATTTTCATTTAAATAGGCATGGTCAAGAGGTCTCCCTGCAACAACTTCTGGCCCACCCCCATGCATTTTCAATGCCCTTATCGTCGCCACAATTACAGCACATTGAGGAGTTAAACCGCTATAGCGACATTTTATGTTCATAAATTTCTCAGCGCCAATATCAGCCCCAAAACCTGCTTCTGTGACTACAAACCCACCCTGTCCTACCAGCTTCAGGGCAATCTTATCAGCCACTATAGAGGAATTACCATGAGCAATATTTGCAAAAGGACCGGCGTGAACAAGAACAGGAGTTCCCTCGAGAGTCTGCATTAATGTCGGGTTAATGGCATCCTTCATCAGCACGGTCAAAGCACCACCTACACCGAGATCATCAGCAGTTATAGGGTCACCAGCCTTGCTATTTCCAATAACCATTTTTCCTAGCCTCTCTCTCATATCAGCCAGGGATGTTGTAAGGGCCAAAACTGCCATTATTTCACTGGCAACTGAAATATCAAATGCAGTTTCTCTCACCATCCCTTTCTCATCCGGACCCTGGCCGATAGAAATTTTCCTTAAGAACCGGTCATTTACATCCATGACTCGCCTCCAGGTAATAGAATTTGGATCAATATCAAGCCTGGCAAACTTTTTAACTTCTTCTGGCGTAAGATCTTCTGGTTTTGTCTTGGCAATGTCAAGCTTCTTCAAACGTCGTAACATGATACCGCTAAAGCTCCGTTTTCCTTCTTTGTTTGGCGGGCAGAGCCGATTAAAGAGAGCCTTATCTGACTGAGATGCCTCATGGAAAATCCGGGTATCAATAGCAGCTGCTAAGAGATTGTTTGCAGCTGTTATTGCATGAATATCTCCAGTTAGGTGAAGATTAAATTCATCCATTGGAATCACTTGACTGTAACCACCTCCGGCTGCACCGCCCTTGATTCCAAATGTTGGTCCCTGTGACGGCTGGCGGAGGCAGGTAACCACCTGAAACCAACCTAGACAGGTGAATCGGGCTGTACATGTAGATCCCAAGTATAATTATGTTCAGTATTGATTGAACTAGCAAAATTCTTTAATTTACACATCAATAAAGCAAAAAACACTAAAAGTGATGTAACAATCATTTTAAAAACCTTAGTTCATATAACATAAATGAATGGATTAGGCATATAACATGATCAGTGATCTAAGGTCCTTTACTTGCTGAAAATCGCTTTTGAAGATAATTGGAATGAGCAAAAAGAATAAAATATGCAGCAATATGAATAATATTCTTTTTATTGTGTTAACTAACATTGTATTGGAATCGGAATCAAAACAGGTTGTATCACTAAATCAAGAACTGTTCTTGATTTTGGGTTGAGAATGACAATAAAAGAGGCATCTAATGATTAAGGTAAATATTAGAAATGGGAATGGAGAGTAATAATTTTCATTCCTTGTTCATTCTTGTCGAGTAAAATGGCTAATGGATCTATACGGTACATGCCCATAAAAAATAAACTATCTTCTAAAATGCAAACTATCAACAGACGATTGAAGAATATTTGTCAATTACTTTTACGCATAAATAAAAATTCATACTTGCATATAAATGGCCACAAAACTGAGTTGTAAGAAAATATGCAAATATGTATTGAAAACATGACATTCTTCTTGACTTTAAGATTCTGCTTTGAACCAAAGTCTTCCAAAACAATAAACAAGATTTATTGCGGGAATGAGTTCAAAACTTTAAAGCAAAAAGCATAATGTTGCTTTTCAAAGTGGCCATTTCTTATCTCATTGCAAAATTTGCACTGTAATCTTAGACATAAAAACTACAGTATTCCATTTGAATCAAAGATGCAACTACTTCAAAAAGAAATCAAACATGCAATGCAATTATGAGAACTCAATCTAATAAGCAAAAAAAAGGAAAAATATGTGTTAATAGTACTTAATGTTTTAGTGTTTTTTCAATTTAATCCTTGTTATTTAAAAAGTTTAAATTAGGTGTCTTAACTCCTCCGCAGAATTTTTGCTAACTCACTAAGTACCATGTCATGCAAGTTTATCATGACACAATTTTAACATTCACGAATATTAAGGGTATAATTTTAAAATGTTAAAACATAAGGGACAATAGTAGAGGCTAAATTGGAAAAACACTCAAACATTAGGAACTAAAACACATATTTATACGAAAAGAAAATTACCTTTTTGTCAAGAAAAGCGCCAAGAGCTTGACAGAGACCAACAGTAGTAGTGGATTTGCCTTCCCCAAGAGGGGTAGGAGTAATCCCTCCAACCACCACATAATATCCATCCCCAGATCCCTTAAGCTCATCAAGTGCAGACAACAAGACCTGCAAACCAAACCCCAACACAATCAGGTCGGGAAGGATGAGAGCAATTGCCCCTTAGTTTAGCTTAGATTCAAAATCTTAAGTAGAAAATTTAAGATCTAGAATTTCCTCTAACTTGTCATTTTTAGAACTAAAACATTATACTCAAGGTAATATTCTGTTCCTCCTAAAAATTCTGGCTCTTCTCCTCCTGGATGAATTCACAAACAATTACTGCCTCACATTACCAAATACCCATATCAGTCCACCAAACAGCAAACAATTCCAATTCAACTTCATGCAACTCTTTCCTGTACATTCCTATAGAAAGTAAAAAGTCAATGATATCCCCGTACTTCCATTTTTCCACCACCCAATCAAGAAAACCCCAGAAACAAACAGCAAACACTTCCAATTCAACTTTATGCAAATCTTTCCCATACATTCCAATAGAAAGTAAAAAGTCAATGATCTTCTCCTCATACTTCCATTTTTCCACCCAATCAAGAACAACCCAGAAACAGATTCACTAAAAAAACTCAGGATCCTAAAAGGAAAATGGCAATCCAGAAAAGGGAAACAAGCGATGTGAATCAGAATCAACCTTGGCCTTGTATTTGCCATAAAGATCGTAGTGGGTGGGGCTGAGATTGAGGTCTTTGGCGATCTCAGCGATGTGCAGAGGCTCCACTGAATTGGCAATGACTATATCCGCAGGCACTGGAGACTCCACCTGAAGTTTCCTCACAGTCTTAGATGAACTCATTTTGCAAAATCAGAGCAAAATCCCAAAAACCCAGAACAGAAATTGGCTCCCCTCCAATCCCCTGTATTTGCCTTCTTGGAACAGACGCTAGTGATTTATCTCACTATGGAATGGATCAGATTTGTCACTGTCGAGCTCTTCCCCGTAATAAAAAGACATTGTAAGTTTTTTTGAGGGGGGGGATTAAAATACTATTGATGGGTGAGTGACAGTTTGAATCTAAAAAATCTTTTTGCAAGAGAGAACACATTTTTTTGGAGTGTAGCTGCAAATTTTGTTGACGAACCATAGAAGTGAGGGCCTGTGAGTTGTTGCTATCGGACGCTGTGGTGTGGACGGTAGTGGCAGAAGTGGGAAATGACAGCCGTTGGATGATGGGGTTGAGGTGATGGACGGTGGATGATGGATGTTTGGACGGATTATAACGTGTGCCTCATTAGCAGAAGATCCTTGCCCTCCCTCATGCATTAAAAACTAGATTTTATTTTTTATGAAAATAAATAAAAAGTGGAGATGCGGGGTATCGATCCCCGTACCTCTCGCATGCTAAGCGAGCGCTCTAC